TTTGAGGAGATTATTGTTGGTTTCCGAACACTTCTACTCAAATTCCATAGCTAGTAAGGAAAGAACGGCTGAACTCAGCTGAGGAAAGCACACGTATATTCCTCCAACACTGTTTTCACCAGTGTCACTGAGCCGTGATTTTTCAAGACGTGCCGTTAGCCTATTGTCAAACTCCTCCTCATATTGTTGGTCGTAATTGCCACTCGCACTGCCCAACCTTTGTAGTCGCAGCGCGTGGTCTGTGAGGTCTCGGAACGTATGAACTCTCAGCACTGCCAGAAAAAAAACCATCAAAAAAATTCCAAAAAGTATATCAAATAGAAACCTTGTGCGCGCGTCGACAGTTGTTCGCTCATCAAGTCCAGTAGGTGGCCCACGAAGTCGCCTTGCGAGAGTAGCAAATATCTGGAAAAATTTCGTAGTGCGTGACGAAAAATCCAAAATTTTCCTCTACTTTTTCACCGCCAGTAAATGATCCTGCAAGCGATACTTATTCATCATCAAATTAAACACCAGAGAGGTTTCCCGCCGATAAGCCTTCTGAACCTATAGACTTCAAATCGATTACCAGGGCGCGCGCTTTTTACACACCATGTTAGTAAGACTATCAGGGTCAGTTTCTTCCTGTTGTATCTGCTTCTGTTGGTCACTCAGCCAATCGCCTTCACTACAGCATTGGCGTACAAAGTTGATCGATTTACCCGTAACAAATATCTAAATTTGAACAGCTCTAGCGGAGCGATGCAAATTTTCATCTCAGTATTTATGACAGTGAGAAAATTCTGATACAATTTTGCGAAATTTCATAATGATGGAGCTTCACGACCCGTTTTACGCGAAGTGGCGTGATACTCTGCGAAAAACGCGATATTCGCGGTGATATGCAGTAGTCGTGAGATATTTTTCCACTAGTGTTTTTCATATCACTAGGGTGAAACTCCAATGTACTCAGCTGGGGAAAGCAAACAGATATTTCTCCAACACTGCAGCCCAGTATAGGGAAATTATGCACATGCTCAACTACATGTGTTGGTGACAATATGAAAATTCTGGGAGGAAATTTCGGGAAATTTCCACTGGTTTCTGTATATTTCTACAACCAAAACTTGTACAACTCGCGAGGAATCTCCTCAGCTCAGCCGAGGAATGCAAACACTGCTGCTCACCTTTAACGCCACTTCCTCACTGATGAGCGCCGGCACTTTATCGAAATCTATCGTGAATGCACTTGTCCAGATATCAGACGAGTTGTTCTTGTTATTGTTAGAGGCCTGCCTGGCGCCCTGTATAAAAAAGTCCTCTTCGTTCCCTTTCATGATGCGACCTTCAGTCTGAAAAGCAGCACACAGTAGTGTGAGAAATGACACGAATAATACAAAGCTGATAATACACTATCATAAAATCCTACATTGGAGTTTCACCACCCTAGTGACATGAAAAACATATTTCACGACTACTGCATATCACCGCGAATAATATCCCGTTTTTCACCGAGTTTTACGACGCCACTTCACGTAAAACGGGTAGTAAAATTTCATCAAATTTAAACGATTCTATCTACCAGATGAAGCCTTCTAGTAAAAAGCATATGTCACAGAAACCAATCGTATTATCGATCGAAAAAACATATTCACATAGAGTATTACGCCACTCTACGTTAACGGGTGAAACTCCAGTTTAAAAAACAGTTGAAAATAATTAATAATTTCCGAGCTGATTTCCACGTCAATATGAAAGCGATTCCGCTTACCAGCCAAAGGCGTATAGTAGCCACCAACGGTTGAAGCGTTTGCTTGACGACGTCGTCGAGAACACTACGTAGAGATGTACATCTTCTAGCACACACTGAAAAGGAATGTGCATACCAAAATTGGAGTCTCACCACCCTAGTGATATGAAAAACACTTGTGAAGAATATATTCCACGACTACTGCATATCACCGCGAACAATATCGCCTTTGTCACATAGCATTATGACACTTCACGTAAAACGGGTTGTGAAACTCAAGTGAGTCTATCAAACCATCACAATATTCGCGATGATATGCAGTAGTCGTGAAATATGTTTTTCATATCACTTGGGTGAAACTCCAATGTTGAATCCCAACCCATCAAAAGTTGATATGCGAATTTTTAAACTTCAAAAATTCTCCCAAGAAAACAAGTTCCATATGAAACTCCATAATCAAATTACCGTTGCTCATTTCGGCGGTAAATCACAACATATACATAATCGATCACCAGGGCGCGCGCTATTCGCCTCACCTCCATTAGCAGGACGGGAGTCACGGAGAGTTATGATGTCCGAAATCATCGCTCCGCCGTTGTTTTCCGACAAACACACTTGCGTCAACCTAACAATACGAACCAGAAGTGTTGCTGGTCGGAAAATACAACTCGTAAGAGACTTCTGATAACCAAAGTTACGCACGCGCCATCAGAGTTAACTTTTTCTACAGACCGATTTCCAAGCTAAAACTTCGAATATAAGCCCCTCTTATATAGTTATATTCCATGAAACCTGTCCTCAGTCGATTTTCGGAGGAAAATTTTTTTTCATGGCACTTTTTTTCACCTGTCCGACCCCGATATTGAACCTGCGCCCTTCGAGAGTAATTTAATCCACAACACAACAACTG